AACAAAACCAACAACCCCTCCCCCCCAAACTAGATGAGTTTAATTTGCTTTATCCTGACAATTTTTATTTGAAGTTTGGTCACTAACCATTTCCTGTGCTGCACTGTGCATATCCTTCTTATAGTTACTATTCTCAAACTAATAATGATAATCCTCTACATTAAAGAAGCCAAGATTGGATATAATCTGACAGTTCCTGTAAATTATTTTAAATGGATACTGACATATGCCTTGTTTGGTGTTTTCTCTCTCAAGAAGTTAGCATGACCCATTTGGAGGAGCCAGTATGGCTGAATTAAAGATAGGAATGAATATGAGATTGGAAGCCATGAATAAGTTTTGACTCAATGACTTAGAAATTATGACTTTAGAAAAGTCACTGATTCCTTGTGCCAAAAATACTCTTCAATAAGATGTTTCTACTTTAAAAACTTTCCCCATTAATTTTAAGCTCAACTTAAATTATATATGAAGATAGAGAAAAAAAACAAGAGGCAATTGCAAATAAAGGAATAAAAGAAAAAGTTACACAGAATCCTTTTAAACCCTCTTTCTTCCTCTCAAGGAGAAAAGCTGAAAGTGATAAAATGCTCAGAATTGCTAGGCATCTTCCTAACAACCTATTAAACTACGCAACACTCATGAAACAGTACCTCTTGTTTTAGAGAGAGAAGAACCCTAAGTCTGATTTTCCCAAGGTCACAAAGTTAGAGATCAGATTAAACGAAGCTCTAGGACTTTGTACTCTTCATAATTTTGAAAGAATGTTAGATCATAAACCAAAAAATGCTACAATTACTTCACTCTATATGCTATGTTCTATATCTGTGCTGTCCAATAAGGTAGACAGCCACAGACAGCTATTAAGCACCTGATAAATAGCTTGTCCAAACTGAGATAGGTGTATGTGTAAAATATGAACTAGATTTTGAAGACTTAGTATGAAAAAATATAAACGATTTCATTTTTGAACATTGATTACATGTTACAATGGTAATACTGGATTAAATAAAATTCACTGGACAGCACTGGTTCATTCTTCTTGCGAGACTTTTCAATGAAACAGATGATGTCATTACAAACAAACCAAAAAACAATACTGCCTTAAAATTTGCTGTAGTACAACATAGAACCATATTTAGAAATGTGCATAATTAAGTTTCCGAGAGACACAGACATATATGTAATTAATAAATACATAAAATAGGCCATCCTGGTGTGCTCTAAGGATAATAAAAGATGTTTCTATCTCAATACAGGCATGTGAGACTTTGAGTAAGTCACAAGAGAGGAGAAAGTATGACTTTCCATTACAGTAATTTGTCATTTCCTTAGCTGAAAATATTCCTATTCTAATGTACACACAAGGCTATCGAAGTTAGAAGATGCCCATAAGGCACTATGAACATCTCAAAAAAAAAAAAATTCTGCTTAATGGGTGTATTTTTAGTTATTTTAGAAACCATATATTATAATATTGTTCTAATGCAGAGTCAGCTCTTAGTCTTATTTTGACTAAATAAGAGATACTCAGTAAGGGGGAACATCAATTAAAAAAAATAAGGATCACTTAAGAAAAGTTTGTCAATCCACAAAATGTTACACATAAAGTTACATGTGAACCAGTAAGTCTATTCCTAGGTATACAACCAAAGAAAAATGAAAACATAGGTCCACACAAAAATGTGTATGATCATAGCAGCATTATGCATAATAGAAAAAAAAAAGTGGAGCCGAAACCGGTTTGGCTCAGTGGATAGAGCGTCGACCTGCGGACTGAAGGGTCCCGGGTTCGATTCCGGTCAAGGGCATGTACGTTGGTTGCGGGCACACCCCCAGTAGGAGATGTGCAGGAGGCAGCTGGTCGATGATTCTCTCTCATCGATGTTTCTAACTCTCTATCCCTCTCCCTTCCTCTCTGTAAAAAATCAATAAAATATATTAAAAAAAAAAAAGTGGAAACAATGCAAATTTCCATCAACTGATGAATAAACAAAATGTGGCATATCCATACAGTATAATATTATCCTATATAATAAAAGCTTAATATGTTGTGTCCGGTCATTCGTTCAACGAATCAAAGTGTAATATGCTAATGATATGCTAAGGCCGCTCAACTGCTCACTATGATGTGCGCTGACCACCAGGGGGCAGACAGTTGACTGGTCAACCAGTTGCTATGACGTGCACTGACCATAGGGGGCAGACAGTCGACTGGTTGACCAATAGCTATGACATGCACTGACCACCAAGGGGGCAGATGCTCTGACTGATCAGTTAGCTTGCTGCTGGGGTCTGGCGAGACGGGCTGGACACACCCTGGAGCCCTCCTGAGGTCCCACCCCGGTCCCACCCCGGCTGGCCAACCTCCCATGTCCCTCTCCAGCCCCGATTGTGCATTGGTGGGGTCCCTCGACCTGGCCTGCACCCTCTTGCAATCTGGGACCCCCTTGGGGGATGTTGGAGAGCCGGTGTCAGCCCAATCCCATAGGCCAGGCCAAGGAACGCCCCTGGTGTACGAATTCATGCACCAGGCCCCTAGTTCAGCTATAAAAGGAATGAAGCGCCGATACATTCTTGTTACATGTGTGAACCTTAAAAACATGGTGCTACCTGAAAGCCAGCCAGCCACAAAAGAACACATATTGTGTATCTCCATTTATATGAAACTAGAGCAGCCTTGGGCAAACTATGGCCCGCGGGCTGGATCTGGCCCATTTGAAATGAATAAAACTAAAAAAAAAAAGACCGTACCCTTTTATGTAATGATGTTTACTTTGAATTTATATTAGTTCACACAAACACTCCATCCATGCTTTTGTTCCGGCCCTCCAGTCCAGTTTAAGAACCCATTGTGGCCCTCAAGTCAAAAAGTTTGCCCACCCCTGAACTAGAGGCTCCCGCCACAGCCGCTGCACTCACCAGCTGTGAGCCTGGCTTCTGACTGAGTGGTGCTCCCCCTGTGGGAGCTCACTGACCACCAGGGGGCAGCTCCTGCATTGAGCGTCTGCCCCCTGGCGGTCAGTGTGCATCATAGCAACCAGTGGTTTCGCAGTTCGGTCGATTTGTATATTAGCCTTTTATTATATAGGATAGGAGGGCTAGTGCACGGATTTGTGTACATTGAAAGGAAATTAAGTAGAAGGTGTGGAATGCAAATGTACTGTTAATTGCACAACTCTGTGAAAACAACAAAAAACACTTTAAATGGGTGAACTGTAACAATTATGTATCAATTAAAAAATGTAGCCAAGCCCTAGCCGGTCTGGCTCAGTGGATAGAACATCAGCCTGTGGACTGAAGGGTCCAGGGTTCGATTATGGTCAAGGACACATGCCTGGGTTGCAGGCTTGATTCCCACTGGGGGGTGTGCAGGAGGCAGTCGATCAATGTTTCTCCCTCATCTTTGATGTTTCTATATCTCTCTCCTCCCTTCCTCTCTGAAATCAACAATAATATATATTTTTTAAAAATGTAGCTAAAAATGGAGGGACAAGAATTTGTCAAGCACCTAATTGCCATTTTTCTGGATTTTATAACTATTTATGTTTTTAAGTTTTGTCATTTGTGACCCCCCCCCCCCCATTTTAACTTTAAAACAGAGAATAGCCTAGTCCAAGCTACTGAATAGTTTCTCAAACTATGAAACCCATGAAGATAGCACAAACTACCTTTGAGATCAAATGGCTCTGTGGAAAGCCCCCAAAAAGTTACTATTTCAGTCAAGCAAATGGGTAAAGTTCAAAGAGGGGTGATGGGAATTTGAACATCTCAGCATTAAAAAAAAGTACAGAGGAACAACATAAAAATATTACTTTACCACTTTCTCATAAAAACTTTCGATTCAGATGCAGAATGGATTAAAAAAAAAAACCCACGAAACCCTATATATATAAACTCTTACATTGAAGGGAAGAAATGTATCAAAAATCTGTGTGGTGTGTGTGTTTAACCCACACACCTTATGCAGCCTAAGGACCTCGGGAGCAGCTATATGTGTTAATTAAAGTCGGTGGGTCCCCCGCCCTTCGCCCCCTTTAAAATAACAAAATGCGATGGTGCCATTCCACAGCCCACCCCATCCCCCACTACCATCCCCGGCAGGTGGAGGGAAAGGAGACCGCAGACCGGAGGATGAAAGCTTTGCATAGCCCTCTGGACTTCACATGTCAGAATGCAGCTGGTGGTCTCGCGGGAGGGGGTAAGAGGTTTGTGAGCAAGCTGAAACAAGGGGCATCCTTTGCCTGGAAAAGGGCACCCCGTGAGCCACATCTTGAATCCGCTGTGTCCACAGGAAAACAGAGGCCGCAGGAAGGCAGTTTTAGCATCACCGGGATGGCCCCTCACGCCGGGGGCGTTTTTTTTTTTTTTTTAAACCGAAGTTGACTCCTGTAGTTTAGATACGGGGAGGAGGCAGAGGTAAAATGGGAGTCGGGAGGACCAGGAAAAAAATGCCTTCAAGTGGAGAGGCCTCGGGCCTCGCCGAGGAAGTTCCGAGCCCCCCTCGGTCGCCACACGCTCGCCGCCCTCTGTCCC